AGAAGTCCAAATGAGTAGTAAGACAGAGGAGATGACATTTCCAGCCAACATAAATCAGGTACGAAACCCAAACTTTTCACTGCAGCATGTCGTCTGCTGCTGGGTCTCACCTTTGCTACCTCTAGTTTTCACCAGAAGACCAGAAGAAGAAAATACGCTGGCTTTTAAAGAGGTTGTTGGAGGTAAAGAGATGACAGACAAGTAGATCTGCCAGGCAGTGTGGGCAGATACTCACAAAAGCTGTAATAAATGGCAGACCCGGTTGATATATGGACAAATTATGTCGCAGGGGAGACTGAATCCAACGCTTGCACAGGAAGATCACACCTCAGAAATACAGTTTTTGAAGGAGTCAACAAGATATGGGTGCTGGACATCCCCTGGTCAGCCGAGAAGGGTCTTCATCAAAGCTTGCAGGGGACAAGCTGCCATAGGCTAGGGAGGAAGATCCTCACGTGGATAAATGAGTGGCTGAGAGAAAAAGGAAGATCACCCAGGGAGCTCACTGTGCCAGCAGACGTCTTGTAAAACGTCTCGTCCACATGCAGCAGGTGCCAAAGGTGGCAGCTGCAGCATTAGGAGAAGTTAGGAGAAGATCGGGGAACGGGACAAGGCATCACGTAGATCTAAGCTGTACCCAGACATTCTCAGCTGGGTGGAGGTCCAGGTCTGGTCACCCAGCTCCAGCAGGGACATGGCGTAAGCAGGGGAGGGAGAGAGAAGGATGAGAGGCACAGCTGGGAGAGCAAGGAGACTTCTTAAAGATTTAAGACCTGCAATAGCATGAAGAGGAGGAATAGAGAAGATAGATAGTCTCACATCACCAGCAAGCACCGCAGCCATCGGCTCTGTCTCCAAATTGCTCCTCACACATCAAAGGCTGGTCCAGCGCCTCCCTTGCCCCATCACCCCTCTGCTCTCTCCAGCAGCCGGTTGGGACCCGTGCCATGTCCCACCTGCCGGGACGGGGGAGTGAGATTCGCAAATCCCCTCCATGTGGATTAAAGTGAAATAACACTCAAGGTCTGTAAATAAACATCAACTTTAACGGGAGATTTCTATAGAACAAATATTCTGTAAATGTTGGCCCTCGGACAATTATATCTACCTAAGCTATGCGGCTTTATAGGAAATAAAGGTAACCCTTGCATTACTCAACAGCTTTAGGAGGGGAGAGAGAGAGAAAGAAAGAGACAGAGATGAAGAGATCACCAGTCCTGGATCCAGCGTTGGACCTGCCAATGGGGGTATTCAGGTAGAAAGCCCATGTAGGCTTGCACATGCCCCTGTTTATTGGCCCCAGTTCCTGGACGTCTGGAACCTTCTTTCATCCCAGTTCCAGGAGTTGTTGAGACAGCCATCAAATCATGAGAAGTGACAAGTGGCACTAGGTCCCTCCTGGTGACTTAACCCTCCCTTGACTCCTGGAAGCTTCTTTCAGGGCTCACAGTACAGGCGTCTGGGGCTCGTCCCTCACCACCCGGGTGCCTGGGCTGATCTCTGCTGCACCAACCCGGTCCCCACCAGCCCGTCTCACCAGCGTGCTCCCACGGCACCTGGCCAAGGAGCTGCAAGTGAAACCACTGCGACAAGCAAAAAGGAGTGCAGAGACCACCGGTGAAGCTCCTCGAGAAGGTGCCTCACCCCAGGAAGCCCTTGGGAACATTCAGGGAAGAAATGTCCGATGTCATTAAATATACGATAACATCTGGCCAGGTTTGCTGGGGGGATAAAGGGGGACAGGCGCAGTCTCTTCACCTCCTTTTCGCCCTGTCCCTGCGTGCTTCTCCTTGCCCCTGTATCTGCCTGTGCTTGAAGGCAGGGTGCTGGGAGAGGGGCCGCGCGGTCCGATGAGCATTGGATGAGCAGCAGGTACAGGGACAGGCTTGATGGGAGCACTGTGGGATCGTGGGGGGCTGTGGTGGGGACCCCCCGCCTGCTCTGCATGGAGAGAGGACTGACACCCAGAAAAGAGCTGAAATCGCAGCCTGTGTGCATCCTGCTCCAGGGCACAGGGAGCAAACAGACGGACAAAAGGAGGAGTGGAAAATGCAGGTGGTAAAGAGAAATGAGCTCACCGCTGTCTGGCAGAGTGATGCCTGCACGCGGCAGGAAGGAAACATTTGGCTGGAACACGATGTGGAGACACCAGGACTCCCCACCACACAAAGTCCTCGGCGAAGGGCGTTGCTGGCAGCAGGATGTTTTCATCTGCATCAATACACGTACCGAAAACAAGCCTCCAGGCAAAGCTGCGTGTGGGCCTGGTGCTCTTGGGAGCGCGGCAAATGCTGAACTGTTCCAGTCCAAACTGCTGGAAACGCTGGGCTCCTTCCAAAGAGGGTGGAGATGATGCTGGGTTGGGAAGTCCCAGCGAGGTCCCTTGCCCTGCTGCTGCTGGGACGCGTCCAGCTCTTGTGATCCTCAAGATCAGGAGAGGCAGTTTCCCAAACATATTTTCCTGGTCCATGGGAGGAGGCAGGAGCCCCTGGGAACATCCCGAGGTGCTCAGCCATCATGCAGCAGCAAGGCAGGTCCGGGCTGAAACGAACACCTGGGTGACCAGCCAGGCTGGCCAGGGATGGGCAGGGTGGAAGGGCCAGCAGAGAGGGTTTTGGAGGAACTTCTTTTTCCAGGAGAGGCACAAGGTGCTTCATACCCTGCCAGACCTCAGTGCCTGCGAGCCCTGCCCGAGCCCTGGAGCTGAGCGTGCGTGGGGTGGCAGGGCTTCGCTGGGGACACAGGTTACCCAGGGCGGGTTGTGGTTTCTCCTGGGTGGATTTGAGGAGCTGAACAGAGCAGGAAGGGAAGGATGAAGTGGGATTTCAGAAATATAAATTCAAAGGAAGACAGTCTCCGGAGACAGATGTCCACCACCACCAGATAACCTGACCCCAGTGCGGGCTTTCTCTGCACGGTGCCCAGGGGCAGAGACCACGCGCAGCCCCGCGCCAGCTCTCCGGGTTTGGGTCCAGAGGATTCAGACACCCACCTTCCACCTTCCACCAGCCCTGCAGCATTGCGGGGCTGAGAGCTCCCAAAGCTGAGTCTTGTCCCTGCCTTGGCCCAGGCTGAGCTGGTGGGCGAGTGGGGCTCCAGGGGAGCAGAGGGCTGCAATCACAGCAGGGTGAGTGGAGGGAAGATGATTTGGATGGTGGCAGTGGTTGCAGGCCTCCAAACTCCAACCTCAAGCTCTGTGGCCAAGTCCCGTAGCCTTTCTGCACCCAGCCCCTCGTGGCCATGGGATTTCCAGCCTCACTGCACCTCTTGCCTCAGCTCTGCCTGGCTGTGGTCCTGCCCCGTGGGAAGCACCCAGGTGGGAGAATCCTGGTAGGCTCCGAAACTGTCCTCACTTGGGTGAGCTTAGCCCAGGATCACCCCTGGCTGCTCACCATCCACAGATCCCAGGAGGACAACAGAAGGGACCACACACCCAAGCACCCCAGGTTCTCCCCAGACAGCTACACCAAGCTCCAGGGTGAGTTTCTGTTTATTTGGCAAAAAGGAGGGAGTGGGCACTGAAGGAGCAGGAGACATGTCAGAGCCTTGACCACCAAGCTCGGAAGAGGGATGGCGGAGCAGGAGACATGTCAGAGCCTTGATCGCCAAGCTTGGAAGAGGGATGGCAGAGCAGCAGCCTGGAGCTTCAGAGCGTGGGTCTTGCATTGCTCAGCAGGAGCATCCACCAGCCAGCCCGCACCTCCTAGAAAACAGCCAGGAGAGGTGGGCTAAGTATTTGAGGTGAGAATAGAATAGAATCACAGAATACCAGGTTGGAAGGTACCTCAAGGATCATCTGGTCCAACCATTCTAGGCAAGAATTTGCACAGTCTAGATGAGATGGCCCAGCACCCTGTCCAGCTGAGTCTTAAATGTGTTCAGCATAATGGAATCAACCACTTCCCTGGGGAGATTATTCCCATGATTGACTGTTCTCGTTGTAAAAAATTTTCCTCTCGTGTCCCATTGGAATCTCCCTGAGAGTAACTTGTACGTTACCCCTTGTCCTCACCATGGGACTCCTTGTAAAAAGGGAGTCACCATCTGCTTTGTAGCTCCCCTTTAAGTACTGGTACATGGTGATGAGATCACCTCTAAGCCTCCTTTTCTCAAGGCTGAACAAGCCCAGCTCTCTCAGCCTGTTCTCATACGGCAGGCTGCCCAGACCCTGAATCACCTTGATGGCCCTTCTCTGGACCCCCTCCAGCCTGTCCACATCTTTTTTGTATAACGGGGACCAGAACTGCACACAGGATTCCAGGTGTGGCCTGACAAGCGCCGAGTAGAGTCAGATAATGACTTCTTTATCTCTGCTGGTGATGCCCCTTTTGATGCAACCCAGCCTCCTGTTGGCCTTCTCGGCCGCAGCAGCACACTGCTCGCTCATGTTGAGCCTCCTGCCCACCAGGACCCCCAGGTCCCTCTCCACAGAGCTGCTTTCCAGCCAGGAGAGGAGGCTAACGGAGAGGGCTAAGCAGGGCTTTCCATCAGGATCAGTGTCTTCTCTTCCAGGTCTCCCCAGCTCTGCAGGGTGAGCCATCTCCAGGAGTGGATTTCTAGCTAACCCCTACAACTGAATGTGTACCAGTGCGGTGGGAAATCACATGGCAGGGTGAGCCAACAACAACCACGTTTTGTGTGGTGAGACATCAACCCAACCTCTGGCCGGTTTTGCCGGTCCACAACCCCAAGGCCCCTTTGGTGAGAGCCGGTGTCCCGGCCCTCACTGCTGGATGAGCTCTGCAGCCGTTTCTCCGCTGAACCAGTGGTTTCGGTTCAAGTGCCCTCGCTCACCACTGGGCGGCTGCACCCTGGGGGTCCCCACTGCAGGGCAGCTCCAAAGGGAACGGTCCTACCTCCGTGCAAGTGCCAGCACAGGTTTGAACAACTCGGCCCCCAGAGTCATTCGAGGAGTTCACGGTGGTCCTTGCTGGGGCACCAAGGGGGGCAATTTCCAGCTGAGGACATTGCAAACACCGTGTTGCACTGCAGCAACTCACCTACGCTTCATCGAGGCTGCATTCCTCTGTGAAAATAAAGAGAAAGGGTGAGTCCAAGGCTGTGGTCTGGCTAGTCCCATTTAGCACCCAAAACAGACAACCCAGGAATGAACTTGAGCAAGGCGAAAGCCACGACGTGCCAAACCAGTGTGCCTCTTTCTACCAGCACTTTCTTCTGCCAGCTCAGACCACAAAGTGGTGGCAGTGATGGGCCAAGCTGGTCCCTGCTGACGTGTCCTGGCTCCCCGTATCGACCGAGCCAGCCCGACACAGTGCTGGGCAGTGCTCACCCTGGCTGGGCAGTATCCTGATCATCTCATCGGTGAAGCTCTTCTCCCTCGCAAGCTTCTTGAACAGCGCTATGATTTTGGGGCTCACCTCCCGAGTTCTGCCTAAAGGCAAAGACAGGAGTTAGCTCCAGGCTGTGGCCTGTCCCTGCATCTCCTGGGTAGCTGGCGAGGACAGGATGGATGACGGTCCCCGGGGAGAAGGCTGGAGGCAGTGGTGGAGGTCCTGGAGAGCGGTGGTGGCCAGGCACATGAGACACCCCTCCCAGGAGACAAGACGAAGCGGAGGTCCTGGCACCAGCACAGTGTCTCCTCACTTTGTTCCCATCCCCACTGTTTCTGCCCCCTTGCAGCGGGACCCCCGCTCTTCACCCCGTTTCACCCAAGGCCATGGACTCCCAGCACAGCACAGAAGCCTGAGCCCCAGCCGCCCCTGCGAGCCCCAAATCGCTGCCCCTTCCCCTGCTGCGCAGGGGACGCAGCAGCCCCAGCCCCAGGGCAGGAGGGCAGTGGTGAGGAGGGGTCTCTCCCACAGGCCTCCTGACTCCTGGCCTCTTGGGCCACTGCGAAGCACCCTGACACCTCCGAGCTGTTCACCCTGGTCAGACCGCCACAGGCTACGCACTGTAGAGCCTCAGCATGTGGAAGGTCCTGCCGTCCTTCACTCTGGAGGCAAAGATAACTGCGTACGTCTTGCCGTCGGTATCCACCACCTGCACCGTTTTATTGCCTCTCTCTGCAAAAGGACATGGAGGAAAGCGAAAATGAATTACCTCCTCCTGAGAACTCCCACACCGCAAAAGGGCTGTACGAGTGCGAAGCCCCATGCAAGATGCCAAGGACCAGGTCCACCCAGCCCATCGTTCTTCTGGGTCTCCCCCTCCTGGTTTTTCCTCTTGCTAAGGCTCCTCTGAAAGCCTGGGGGAGCCCACAGATCACAGCAGAGCAGAGGGACAGGAATGCGAACACAGGAGGATCTGGGGATGGTCACTGCAGGCAGGGGAGTGGCCCGGCCAGTGTCAGAATAACACTTGGGCTGGAGATGGTGGGAAGCCACTCTTGTTTCACCCCTTGGGAACAGCCATCCACGGCCCCATTGCAGAATGAACCTGCTCTGCCCCAGGGTTTAAGCTTGGTCTGAACATGTCTGTCTTATCGCAGAGCAGCTTCCCAGAAGGAGGGAGCGGGGGGGTCCACCACGCTGGGTGGTCACTAGCCCTGGCACGGCCCAGCCCTGGGATGCAGCTGGTGACCGGCCACAGAGGGATGTCCCACCCCAGGACCTCAGGAGAGGCAGACAGGCACCCCTGAGGGCCAGGCACCCCGGGGCAACCAGCTGCTTCAGACAGGGATGGTGGGAAGTGCCTCCACCCCGTCCCAAGGGCTGGGCTCCCCCACTCACCAGAGCTGTAGTATTCACCCGGGACCCCTGTTTGCTTGTAGATCGCCTCCGATTTCTTACATCCCTCCGGGCTGCAAAACAGTGCAAAACGGATGCTCCGGCTGGGGTGAAGTGACTCCCCGTCCCCTCCCCAGGGGACGCTGGCTCTGGGGTTGCTACCCCAAACGTGGGGCTTGCTGTTCAGGGATGAGATGGTGTGGCCAGAGGTGGGGGACAGCTGGCACCCTTGGAGCAACGGGTGCCTGGGTTGGCAGGGCACAGTGCTGGCACCTGAGGATCGCCCCGTGGGGTGCCATGTTCTGCACTGGTGGGATGAGGCTGGTCCTGCTGGGAAAGCTTTAATCGTAGGGTGCCTCATCATCCTGCTGCATCCCTGCTGGGAGCAGGGGGGTTCCTCAGCCCTTGTGGTGGGACCGCTCCTGGCTGGTGCTGCCCTCAGCCTGCCTGGCCCACCCTGAAGAAGGGTCCCCACAATGCAGCTCCCCTGAGCCCCTGTTTCAAACCGCAGGGCTGGTGGCCCTGCCTCACCCCCTGCCCAGGTCTTTGGTGGGTGCTGGGTGGAGGCACCTCGGTGGAGACCCAGTGGTGAAGGGCCAGGGAGGAGGTTGGTCAGTGAAGCCCATGGAGAAAAGCACTTGGCACTTACGTGGGAATGGCAAAGGAGACCTTCAGGTCGCCCTCCCCCAGGACTGCAATGGTGGCCATCGCCATCTTCAGCTTGTCCTTCTTTTGAAGGTAGCCCTCGGAGTCGGAGGCCAGAGCAATGATGTACCATTTCCCTGCAACCTGGCAGCGAGGGCGGGCTGTGAGTCCGGAGGAGCAGGCAGGGGCTGTCCCTTCCTCAGGGACCGAGCCAGGACACCCCCAGGCCATGGGACACCCGCATCCCCTCCGGGCACCAAAATCCCCTCTGGGGCACCTACGCTGGAGCTGGGTGACTGCCCTCACCTGGGTGTGACAGCGGTGACTGTGCGGTCCCCAGTTGCCCCCAGTAGCAAAACACCTTTCCAGTCCCCACCCTGGTGACCGGAGGCCGCGCTCCCACCTTCCCTTCCCCGGGATGCTGTGGATCACCTTGCTCTTGTCCAGCCCCACAGCCCCAGCGTCCTCAGCCTCCACGCGCAGCAAGCAGAGCAGGGCCAGCCCCAGGCTCAGCCCCAGGGTCCTCATCTCACCGGCTCCTCCGCCTTCCCCAGCAGGATGGAGAGCGGTGCCAGGGCTGCCGGCTTTATAGCACCGCACTCCCCCCGCTCTGCCCCCGCCGGTGCTGCTGCGTGCTGAGCTGCACTGACAACATTGCCGGTGTTGACTTGGGCGAGGTGGTGGTTTCAAAGGGCTGAAGTCACCCCGGGGTAAACAGCCTCCTGTCTTGCGGAAGAAGGGAAGTATTTGCAAGCCCCAGCCCCTTGGCTGAGAAGCAGGGTTGCAGGAGCTGTTGCACCAGTGCTGAAATTTAGGATTTTCCCAGTTTCTTCAGTCGCTTGTGAAAGAACAAAGAGAGCTTTTGTTTCCCAGCTGGCTGATGGAGGGCTGCCGGGAGGAGCGGGGAGGTCCTTCCCAGCATGGGCCACGGCAGCACTGTCACCCAGTGACCCGTCACGAAGGGGCTCGGTGACCTGTCCCTCTGGCCAGCCTGGCATCCCTGAGGCTGCTGCTGGGATCGTGCCCAAATCCAGGCACCCGCACGCCGCTGGCATGACCTGACCCCATGGTGCCTGCGCAGGCTCGCCCACCCACTCCGGGGAGCTCAGGGTCCGCAAAGCGGGGTGCACCCGGAGCGGGGCAAGCAGAGAATGGGGTTCATGTCACTGTGGGAGTGTGTCCCCTCCTTCCCAGGGTGTGTTGTCCCCTGTCCCCTCTGCCCTGGCTCCCACGGACTCCTGGGGTCACAGTCCCGAAAGGGTCCATGCCGTTTCCTTGCAGCCCTGCGCCTGGCTGGGCAGTGCGGGACCCTTGCTCTGGGGCAGGGGGCCAGCGGGGGGGACCAGGGGCTGCCTCCGCTCCGCAGGAGGTGGAGGAGGATGGAGGAAAGGCGCTGTCTGCCCTTGGGGCTCATTGCAGCACGGCCCTGCCTTGGTCCATGGGCAGATGGGGGCACCAAGGGGGCCAGGAGATGGGCATGGGGGTCCCAGTCCTGCCATGTGTTTACCCTGTGCAGCCGTGGCGCAGCCCCACTCCTGCCGGGGTGGCCCTGGGGTAGGGACTGAGCAGGGAACGGGGTGTCCTGGGGACAGGGTGTCCGGGGGACGAGCTGCCTGCCGGGAGTCAGAGCCGGTGCAGGCAGGGCTGGGCAGCCTGACTGCTTAACCCTGCCTGCCCAGACCTGCTGCCCACCCAGCCGAGCTGCGCGGCGCGGTTCATCCCAGCTCAGTTCTCCCCTGCCTGCATCCCCGGCAGCTGCCCCGCTGCACCTTCCCCATCCTCTGCTCCCCAACCTCCCCACGCCGGGCACAGCAAACAGTGCAGCAAAGGAGCCCCCCAACGCCCCTGGGGTGCTTAGAGGAAGGGTTGGATCCAGGACCACTGGGCTCAGGGTGCCTGGGACCCTGGCAGCACCCCTGCTCCCGCCAACAAAAGCACCAAGCTCTGGAGCAGCTTCTGCACCTATTTATTCAGGAGGGCGAGGTGTGGTTCTGGCACGGGGCAGCGGGGCCGGCAGAGCCCAGCTGGGGAGGACAGGAAGGGGCACCACGGAGCGGGGAGCAGAGCCTGGTTTCCACCAGGTCTGGAGGATACATGGCCCTGGCGTTGGCCCCTTCAGCTGCAAGGAGGCAGGACAGACGGACAAGCCGTTAGAGCAGGGGAAAGCCAAATGACGCAGAGCCCCGAAGCAGGTGGGGGCTCCCCGGGGGGCTGCGAGTCCCTGCTCAGCCCAGGCCATGCTGGGAGGGAGCCGTGGCTTCCCCAGCCACACTCACCTGATGTCCTTGGAGCACTGATCTGTCGGAAAGCAAAGAGAGGGGTGAGCATGCCACAGGCAGTGCCCTGAGCCCCCCACAGCGTCCCCACACAGAGGGGCCGTGAATGCCACCCCACGCCTTCCTGGCACTTACCTGACTTGGGCAGGACAGCCAGCATGTCCTTGGTCAGGCCCATGGTGGGGATGAGCTCTTCCAACTTCTGCAGGAGCTGCGGGCTCACGTCCTGTTCCCTCGCTGCAGCCGGACACCCAAGGCGGGGGCTGGTGAGTGTGGGGGGACCTGGCAGCGAGCCCCGCGCCAGGGTCTGGCTCCCGTGGGGCAGCGATGGGACCCCGGGGAAGGTCAAAGGCGAAGCCATGGAGGTGCAGGGTGGACACTGGGCACACCACGGCTGCCCTGGGCTGGCAGCAAAGGGGCACAAGCCCCTTGGCATGGGCGACCCACCCGCCTGGGGTGGTATGGGGCAGCTGGCGGGGCTGGGGGTCCGCAGCTGGACTGGCACACCGCAGGGGGGCTTCGGTTCAAACCGCAATAAACCGGGGATATTTTTGGTGCGAGGTATCATTCACCCCAAAATGAATTCCCAGGGGGTGCCTGGGTGCCAGCGTGTTGGGTGCCAATGTGGTGGCCCGCAGCAGTGGTGGGGAGCCCAGGCACTGTCCCCTGCCGGTGCCCGTCTCCCGCCCTGGGGAGCCATGGGTGCCCATCCCCACTCCCAGTACCCACTGAGGAGCTGCAGCGCGATGCTGGGCTCCTGCCCGCTCTGCTGGAGCTGGTGCACGATGGCGTAATGGCTGTAGTCCGTCTCCACCACATGCAGCTCCCTCTTCTCTTGTGCTGCTAAAGGACCCCAGATGGTGCCTGGTCAGGCAACGCGGCACAGCCCGGGCACCTCTGTCGCCCCCACAGGGGCTCACGGCTCAAGGCCTGAGCCCCAGATTTGCCGGAGGCGGGTGTGAGAAGGGAGCCCCTGTGCAATCCGGAGGAGCCGGGCGCCCGCCCGCAGCACGACTTCTCGCCGAGCGATGGAGGCAGAGGGGCCAAACCCGCCTCCCAGTGCTCCCAGGACATGGGGGACCGGTGACGCCCACCCTCCATTTCAGGGTGTCCCTGGCTCTGATCCCCCCTGCCCCCACATACCCATGTAGTGCCCTGCCTGCCCACTTCTCTGGAAGAGCAGCTCAAACGTTTGGCATTTGTCCGGCCTGGAAAAGGAAAATGGAAACGGCAAATGTGGGTGGATGCCACGTGGGAGCGTGGCAGGGCAGGGGGGAGCCCAGCGTGCCCAGGGGATGTGCCAGGGCACAGGCAGGACCGGGTGCTCCTCACCCAGCCGCCTTGGTGAGGAGGGGAATCCCCTGGCCCAAGAGGGACACGGCAAGCAGGACGGGCACTCACAGGGGCCAGACAAGCTTCATAGCCAGGTTGCCCTCCGGCATGAAGCTGATGGTGATGATGGATGACTTCATCCCGTCCTTCATCTTCAGGAACATGGAGCAGTTGGAAATGGCAGCTGCAAGATGCCACGTCCCTGCAAACTGCAGCAGGACCTCACCAGTGGGATCTGGGAAATTCGTGGGGACCTGCTACCTGCCAGGGGGACCTGCCAGCCCATCACAGGGACCTGCCAGACTGGGGTGCGGGACCTGCCACCCTCGGTGGGGACCAGCCAGCCTAACATGGGGACCTGCCACCCCCTTGTGTGCAGAACACCCTGCCCTGCCCTGTGCCAGGAGGGTGGGCTCAGTGTCTGGCCCACGTTCCCTGGGGAAGCGCCGCGTGCTCGGGGCCACCGCGGCCCCCAGTGTTCGTGTCCCCGCAGCGGGTCTGCCCACAGCCAGCGGGAGCTGGCCAGGACTGACCCAGTTTTGCACAGGCATCCACACACCCCTGGCAGCTGCCCTGGTGCTGGGACCAGGGGGTGCCTGGGGGTGCCCGGCTGTGCCTGGGGACGCAGCACGGGCACCCTGCCCCAGCCGGCCCCTCCAGCCCAGGCAGGACCAGCCGGGCGGGCACCCTGGGCTGTTACCTTCTCGGCATCGAAGCCCGGCTGCACGGAGACCTCGGCCCCTGCCCGCAGCAGGCAGAGCAGGGCCAGCGCCAGGCTGGGCAGCACGGCCGTCATCCTTGCTCCGGGGGCTGGATGCGGGCAGGAGAGGTTGCACGGACCTGCCTCTTCCCGCACCCACTTTTATAGCCCCCACCACTGGCAGCACCCCCTGCCCGCCCCCGCTTTATGCAACAGCTTACACAAGAGCAGGGATAACTTGTACCCGTGTTAGGTGACAGTGTTGGCCCCTTCTCCTTCTAATTGCGCAGTCCTGGATGAATGCAGCCTTGTGTGAGACCCAGCCCGGAGCACGATGGGGACCGGGTGATGCCCCGTGCCCGGTGCTGTGCCTGGGGAGGGGAATGAGGGTGCCCGCCATGCCCCACTCTTGGCTGTTGCCCACTGGCCCCAGGGTCTGGCAGTGCCGGGACAGATCCTGCCTCAAGGAGGAGGACGGTTGGGCCGGTGTTTTCACCCGGGGTTGAGCTGCAGCCCGGTGCCCCCCAGAAGGGGTTGCAGCTTCCCAGGATGCTGGCAGTGGGCACAGACCCTGCTCCTGGAGGCGGTCCGGCCTCACGGCATGGGGAGCGGGCAGGCGGCCGGGGCTGGGCCACATCCAACACCCATAGCCGTCGCTCTGGTTCATGTCCATCCTGCCCCCACATTTTTGGAGATAACCCCCCTGCAATTGCCCATTGTCCCATCCCCACACTGCCAGTCTGCTCGCTAGCAGGGAAACTGAGGCAGGGAGGCTGGGGTAGTCCAGGGTGCCCGAGGGGGCAGACGGGAGTGGATCCCCCCCAGCGGATCCCACCCGGGGGCTCCTTCTCCCCGGTTGGGGCTGGTTTGGTGGCCAGGCAGCACCGTGGCACAGGGTTCCAAGTGCACAGGGGGTCCCACCCCGGTGACCCCACAGCCAGGATCTGGGATCAGCCCTGACCCCCGGCGCCAGCCCCAGCCCACCGCCACCGGCCCTGCTTCCCCCTCCCCATCGCCCCATTGGGGGTTCCCCCGCGACGGCCCAGCAGACAAGGGCGGGGGGCTGGTTTTATATGGGCTTTAATGGGGATGGGGGTACAAGTGTGGGATGCGAAGCCAGGGAGTGAAGGCTGCTGCGGTGCTGGGGGTGCGCTGGGGATGGGTCGGGACGGGACAGGGTGGCCGCCGGCTTGCAGTGCTCTTGGGGGTCCGGCTGGCAGCAGCTGGTGGGTCTGCCTGGAAGAGACGGGGGGGTGA